CTTAATTTGATGTCAAATAAATCAATCTTTCATCATTACAATTCGAGTTCGACCGTAAAGAAGTCCGTTGGGCTTACATTTTTGAGTAGGCTAGGTTACATAGCTGGTCGAAAGATGGCATGTCGAAAGATGTCACCTTTGCACGTAACACTGAAAGCGGGTGTAATGATGTAATTTCCCTTTTAGTTGCTTTTTTTTTCAACTTTTAAGACCAACTTTCTGGTCTTAATGCAATTAATAGGTTCGTCCAGCTCGTCCAAATATTTTCTGCGCCAGAGTTGGTTATAAAGTCAATCTGAAAATAAAGATCTGTTATCATTATAAAGCAAATGTTATCAATGAAATGGCTTCTCGCAGCCCGCTATTACGGTCTTTCGCTATTAAAGGACAATTGCTCCGAATCGTACATTTTGTTTTGACCTTAAACAGGGTAAGAATTGCTCTGTCGGGACCGGGACATGGGTCGGTAAGTCTGTAAAAGCAAGAGTCCGTAATAACGGAATTTTCTTTCGAATTAAAGTCTATAATTGTTTTTGTGTGTAAGTTTTGAGTTGACTGTACCCGTATATTTCAATCACCACACCCTTCATCAACAACCTGGTGCCTATTCAAAACACTATGATGACGGGGTTACAACCCGATATTCCACCTGATTCCGATCCACAGATCTTTCAAACTGAAAGCTATTGCACATTTTTTTCGAAACAAAACCCATACATCAAATTGAACCAAATATTCAATTCACCTACATGTCACAGTATTACCTACGTCAGGATAACTTTGGCCGAGTCATAATACTGGATTCGAGATATCGTACATGTCGTTCGAGAGTTATTACATTTTGCGTTATTACAACATGCGTTAGAAAAGTTATTACATTTTGCGTTGACTTTTTTATTACATTTTGCGTCAATGTTATTACATTTTGCGTTAGTATTACATTTTGCGGCGATTCTTATTACATTTTGCGTTAATATCACATCTTGTGGCGATCATTACATTTTGCGGCGTAACACACCTCGAATTTCGTCAAAAATACTCCGCTGCGCGTCGTATTTTCAACTCTCTTCTTCTTTTTGTAAAGCTCTCAGGCGCTTTACAAAACTATCCCTAAAAGCTACAGTTTGACTATAAGAAACTTAAAGCCTAAAAAAAAATAGGACAATACTTAGAAAAAAAAGAATCTAAAAAAAGATGCAGCATCTGCACCTCTCTTGACCCGTACATCCGAAAGAGATCGTCTAAACTTCTGTGAGATGAATATATGATCTCTTTGATTTTCTGTTATGTGGTCAAATGATACCCATGTTGCCTTGTGGGCTGCTTTGTATGGGAACAGGCTTCCGCTGATGACAAGGTTGCAGTTTGCCCATAAGTTTGCAAAGCGTTCGCCATTCTCGTTCATCGTCCCCAACCATGTTTGCCCATAACCTACTCGTATCCTCTGTTATTCCCTCCTTTTTTTTGCGTTGACTCACCCACTATCATTACAAGATCTTTTTTCCTTCGCTTTGTCAACTATTTCAGTAAAGGCGTAGTAGAAATCATCCTTATCCTCCTCACTTGAATAACATGTTAGTTATTAAAGATGGCGTTTTGAAGTAAACACGTGTTGTTCACTGAAGATTACTTTAAATCCAAATAACTCGGCAGTTTACAATGACAAGACTTGTAATGCTGTGAAGCAAGACCAAAAAGTTGTAACCATTTCAGAGTTCTACAAACAGATTAAACGGGGGTAGAAATTAAAGTTATTACATTACTATGATATCGCTTTTACAGTAACTATAACCAGCTCAGACTGATACACTCTTTTCAAGATATTGCATTCCTTACTCTTTTTTAAATAATCCAAACAGTATGGCTGGCCATTTCCAGCATGAATGTCTTATGACTGCCAAAATGGAGGAAAGAGATAATTAAATGGCCTATGCATTTAGCAACAGCAAAGGCCAGAATTTATTTCCATATCGTTGACAATTCAATTCAAAAGCGTTTTATAAAAAATCAATACCGTGAGTCATCCTTTTACTACGAGTGGATTATTCTTTAACCTCAATTTTGGGAGATATGTGGCTGCCATGTGAAGCAGTAGACCGACTGCGTAGAGCACAACTTCCCACTCATAGGATTTCCTTCTTTTTTTGGCTTAAAAAATAAATATCCTCCTCGGTAAAAGTAACCATAATCTTACGGCATAAATGTAAGTCTCAACAAGTGCAACAAATAATTCGAATAATTCGAATAAATCGGCTCAAGCTGTCCCCGTGAGCAAGACCCGCATCGCAAGATTGGCCATTTCTAGATCCTTCTGGAATTTCCGAGAAAAAAAAATAACACAGAATTCAGTTGGTGGTATTGCTTTATTAGTTTGTTTGTTAGTTCAAGGCGCTGCTGAAACACACGTCATTTCTGTAGCGAGAGGTCCTCGCATTTCGTTTTTTTCCCTTTTATTGCCGGCTTAACTTCTTGAAAAAAAATTCTAAATACATGGGTCTAATGAGGCCGAATAACACTAGCTCGTCCACCTGCACATTAGCTTTATCAATAGTTAGATGAACTTTAGACATTGACTAACACATCCCCTGTTGGTCTGTCTGTGTTTTCCCAAGTAGACTACCGTTGAGTAGAAAAATGTCGTTATCAACAATTTGCTAATCAGTGGATCGTGTATAATTAGTCTTGAATCTGGAACAGTCTCAGAATCTCAGAAACGAACAAGCTGGGTTTAGAAAGGGCAGGGGGTGCACTGACCAGATATTTGTTCTCAGGAACATTATTAAACAGATCTCGTAATGGCAAAGCAGTCTTTGCATCAACTTTATTGACTTTCTTAAAGCTTTTGACAGCATACACCGGGATAGTCTCTGGAGGATTCTGAGGGCCTATGGCATTCCAACTCGTATTGTGAACATCATCCAGCTGTTTTACCGCAATTTCTCTTTCAGTGTGTACCAGTGAGATTTGCTTTGAAGTTATATCCGGTGTACATTGAGGCTGTGTTATAATTCTTAGTACATTTCTTTGCCGTCCTCTGCAAGAAAACAACGTGAAATGACCAAATTTTGCGTTGTCTGGAGAAGATGAACCACGACGGCTAATTTCTTAAATTTTTATTTCAAATTTATCGCTGTGTTCCGGATTTAGTTTTGCGATAGCTTTGACAGCGGTAAACAAAGTAAATGACTTTAGAGAATCGCGAAATTCGTAGGTAAAATATTCATTCATTTTTAATCAACGTTGTCCTCGGCGTCGCCCTCGTGGTTTCGTAAACTCCCCAATGTCGACCCTAGCGCGCGCGTACGTGGCGTGTGAACGTGTGAACGTGTGCACACGTATATAACGCAGGGACCGTGCTACTTCCTGACTGGTCTCTCAGGATACAAGCGACTGTGCAGTAGATATAAATTACAGAAATACTAAAAACAATCAGGCGATTGCAAAGTATACTAACGTGATTTCTTCCCACCAATCCCAACCCGCATCTCTCATCCATAGGATCGATACACTCGGGTGCAAGACAAGCTACATACACAACGTAAACACTTCTGCAATCTGCGATGAACGGTGCCAACGACTGGCCTGCGGCAGTCCTCGAAAAGGTACTAATTACTGTGTTTTACATTAAGTTATGGCATAAAAACTGATTATGCCCAGGAAACCTCACCTCTTTTTTTACACCAACGCATGCACTGCACGCGGTACGCGGTACTGTATGCGGGCTCATGTATTTTTACCAAGTCACTTAAGTTTACTGATGACAAGATGGTTCATAATAGTTTATAATGTTTTAATCAACTCTTTTATAAGTTACGTTTAAAAACTTATTATATTTACTGAGCAAGTCACGCGACTACATCATTTTACTGAAGTAGTTTTGAAATTTCTTTTACTCGTAGTTTTAGTTCAACCCAGTTTTCAAGTATCCGTATGTTTCAGTTTTCCAAGCAACTTGCGTCGCTTGTCCATGGGTTGTAGATTTAATCAAAATTGCTCTGAGACCGTTCTTCCAGTAGGTTCTCATCCCGGCGAAGAAATCTTCCTGATACTGCGGAGCAATCGTTTTGACATTTCACGTGTTGATCGTAACAGAAATCGATGCATGTCTGCTCTTCAGATATTGGTAGCACTACGCAGGCAGCAGTGCATCGCTTTTTATCATCCGAACACGATACCGAACACTGGGCATTTGCATGGGGAGACAACACTATAAGTAGGCAAGACACTGTGATGATAACTACCGTGAGCGTCATCGATTTCATCTAAAAACAAATCCAAATGAAAATAAATGAGTTCAGATATGTATCAGAACAAATTTGAGTGTATATGTGACTACATTTAACTGAACATAACTAAAAAGTCGAAATCGTACGATACTTTGTAAGTATGAATTTTTATTTTTCCCTTTACATATTTTGTAATTTTAACAAGCGAAAAAGTTGAATTTTAAATCCTGAATACTTGATAGTTTTAAGAAAGAAAGTTTAAAGCGATATGAACTTTATATTTCACTTAAGCGCAATATCATCCCTGGACTATACGAAACCCCAAATGGTAGATCATTGAAAACCTGGACCTAGATCAAAATAAATATATAGATTATATAAAAAGGAGAACCGTTTCACGATAATATAAAGCGTAAACATTCGTTATAGACTGTCGACGAAAACCAAGCGATTGACGGTCTACTGAAAGTAACTTGCTCAATCCTTTAAATATACGAATTCGCGTAAATGATATATCATGTTTAAGTGTTCACTTTGTACTGAGTTTGAATAAAGGCAGTTAAGTGGTAAAGCGCCTATCCAGTGCTTATCTTATTTGTGATATTGAAGATGCGCCACAATGGCTCAATTGGTTTAAAGACGCTCACCTTTAGCAGTAATAATCTCCTTGCAAACGTTCTGAGACACTTCTATCTGACTCAAGAGCTCGTTTCAGTTACTGTCATTTCGCTCAATGTGGATCCTTCTTATATGTTTATCACAAGAAAAGTAATTAATGTACCCATTGACGGCAACAGCTGTCCTAAGGATGAATTATAAATTAAAAGCCCTGAACTGTGGCAATCGGCGCGAATCTGATCATGAGGTTCATGTATTAATTAGTTGTTTCTGATAAGCATTGACATGATAAAGCCCATATATGACCAACAAAGATGTCCTACACCAGTGTTTTATTACTTCTGCACTTGCGTTCCAAAGAAAATTAAAAATACTAATAAGGAGTCATTGATGTCATTCAATAACCATTCAGTCAAACACCGGAGCCAAAGCAGGATCGCAAAAAGGTCTTAATGACTGTTTAATGGCTTACCTGGCTATTAATGCATTACTCTGCGTTTTAAATGAGACAAGGAATCGATAGGAAGCTATTCATCTCGATCTAAATATTGATTTCAGAGAAAACAATTTAATTTTGAGGTTCAGTACTATCATTTACAAGTGTGATGGACAGATAACAGGTGGAGAAAGTCGGCCTTCCGCCCATTTAAAAGAAATATTCAACAAAGATCGCAGGGTGAAAAACCAGTTGATTTTTGGTCGAGAAGCACAAATAAGACACTAAACGGTCTTAGTAAATATCTCCTGAAAACGAAATTAAGAGTACACGACGTACATGACTAAAAGTTGAGACAAAAATTAGTCACTCCAACGATTCTTTTTTTTTCTTTTGTCTCGCATTGTCCATTTTGTGGGCGTCCGTAGGCAGATGGTATTTCTTCATTCATCAATCGTTACTTCATCAGCGTGTCCATCATGGTTTGATCTGGCCTAGCTTCAATTTTTGACACTCAGTTCGATCCGAAGCGATATCCACTGAGCTGGTGAGGGCATGAAGATAAGCCGAAACATTAATTGTTATTTGACACGAGTGCTATTCACGGGCGGCCTCTCGGTCCAGGTTGTTAATTCTAGCCTACATGTAAATTTTCAGTAGGGGCTTTTCTTTTCGTGAACAATTTTCCTAGCGTTGACCACTAAAAGAGCGAAAACAAAACCTCGAAACGCTCTTTTTGTCAGATTATGACCCTTTCTAGTGCGCAGAAAGAAAACGATATCAAAAAAAAAGTTATCGTGAAGTTCTCGCACATGAAAGAACACCCGGCGGAATTAAACAAGGGAATAGCAATCAAGCGAGACTCCAGGGAAAAACATATTATGTAAATTGCCTCAGATGTCATGTTTACTGATGGTCCCATGAAAAAGGAAACGACTAAACAGAGTCGCGTGTTCCATTAACTCCATTTTAGAACGAGATGGCAGTTAATACGTACAAACTCAAGATGAATGGCGAATGGTTGATTGTAAACTGCTAAAAGTTTCCGTTTGGGTGCAATTTACCAGGGTCATTCAAGGCTATTCAACATTTATTTTTTAACACCAAAGGATATCGACCTACTCTACTGCACACTCTATCGTCAATACAAATATTCATGAATCGCTTTCACTGGCTACTTCTCCATCGCCTGCAAACTGCTCTCCAAGCCTGATCATTTTTACCATCCCTATTAATCTTAGCGAGACCTTGCTGAAGCCATTCACTCAACACCCCCAACTCTTCCTGTGGATCAAGTCTCGCACGCACTTACTCGAGTTGAACTTGGCCGGCAGTGGTTTTTTTAAGACTTTGGAATCATTTGTCAGATGTCAATTTAAAATAAAACCCACAAGTAGGCAGTTTTCCGATTGCAACTTAAATTAAGAAAAATGTCCAGCGAAAGTGTTAAGGTTTTAAAGTCAAAATGTTCGGCAAAATGTTCGTCAGAAACAAATTTATCTATTCTTCTAGGTATTAAGACTGCTGGTAAAATATGAATGTCTCGTTATATTACTTAAAATAAAAAAAACAAGACGCACGTCCTCACATTTGTCATAGTCCACAATTGCTTCTGTAAATATAAGCAAATACTAGTTGATAAGCTCCAATATATAGATAAGGGAGAACGAAGGTGACTTGAAATAGTATTTATAAGCTATGCTCTCAAAGATCTTCTTCTCTTAATTATGGGTTATTGATATGTGCACAAGTTCATCGTACATGACAAGTAACGAGCCTTCCACTACACTCTCGGGAAGGGAGAATAATTACTCAATCAGCTAGTTTTAAGCTTGATTGAGATGTACCGTCTTCTTTTGTTGTCTAATCAATCTCAAGGCAATTTCGAAGGGGTTTAACAGCAGTTGGGCATATTGAGCCGGCCTTCGTCTTGCGACATATATTTTTCTGTTGCATTCTAAGGTGGCCTGGGGCACCGGATGGCAATGTAAACGGATTAGAATTTATTTTCAGTTTAAAGTTTTGCCTAAGTTACATGCGTAACCGGAGTGGGTGGAATTTTTTCCCACTAATTTTAGCAGTGTTAGGCTAATTTTATCCGTGCGCTCAGATTTACTGCCTCTTCTTTTTAATAGTTATCAAACCCATCTTAAAAAAATATTTTTCTTCAACGGTGTGTCCGGTAACAGAAATCCTCATTCTAATTGTTACGATAACTTAAACATTTCTACGAAACAAGATGCGTTTCTACGTTTTCACAACTGATTGTTGAACGAAAAAACGCGTTTTATTATATAGAAAAAAATTAGCAACCCAGGTGAAAGCGAGAAGAAAACAACATGATTCCTTCCCTTTCGCATGCCTCAAATGGAGAACAGCTTATTGCAAATTGTTCTCGTTTTAAGAGGTAATTTATCGCCAAAGTAAACGGGAAAAAAAAAATCTCAGACAAAATTCACGTGAAGTATTGTATTGTAACCTTTGGATTATTTGTATCGTAACACATCCTCTTAAGTAAAAAAAAAAAACATAATATATATACCCATTTAACGTTACCTTTTCACTGACCACACGCTGTGAAAACATCAATAGAAAAGTGTGCATGAGATCAAAACGAGATTTAATTGTTAAAGCCTTTTTTTTATTTTTTGACGATGATTTAAGGCTAGCTAATTTTTACTAGCGCAAACCACAAGCATAATTATAAGAACTGGCAACATATGCAGAGGTAGTGACGTGCTGTTAAATACTGCCTTTTCTAACTAAACGTACGGCAATTTTTCAGCTATGGTTAAAATTTCAGCCATCACTCGGCTATCGGTAAATTTTGTAAGTACAACTTCAGCCATCAGTTAAAAAACGCGTCAGCCATCAGCTGACAGTTTAAAGATTTCGACCAATTCTCAGCTAGCTAATAAATCCCATCTAGAAGCTAAAGTGAGGGAACACGGCAACAAGACAACAGTTTGGCCGACAGAGTGTTCGCCGACAATTTGTATCACCCACGAACACCGGTCGAGAACTCTCAGACAGCATCAGAATCAGCAGTCAGAGAAGCAAGGAATTGTGCTTTAGTATTGTATATCTCTCTGTCTTTTAAGCGAGGAGGTACCGAGACTCTGGTCTCTAGGGGCTTTTCTTACACGGACTTCTGTCTTGCCCTTTCTTTGCCTAGCGTCTACTGCTGCTTCTACCACTAAAGGTGCTACTACTTGAGTAACAAATGCACACGCACTTAAATAGCCTATCGGTAGCCATGACTGTGGGCCACACGGGACGAACTGACCTTGGAGGATTAAACATCTTTTTTAGAATACAAACCCAAACACCATCCCACGACTTTCAGAAACGAACTACAAAGTTCTTGAAACGGCCAATAAAAACAAAAGTTTAGAGAACAAGAAACGTAAGCAGAATCTTTGTGGGAGATTCAGACCAAGGCCAGCAGACAAACCCAAACACGACCATCGATGGGGTATTGTTCGGAGCTTAACGGTATTCTCGATAAACTAAGATAAACAACTTGAAGTAATGACTCACTGTGTGGGCAGGCGGGCCCTAAAATTACAAGACTAACGTGGTAATTACAAAATAATAAAAAATTGGTGGTCACCAAATAAAAAGGCTGAACTCTATACGAGTTTTTGAGCTTCACAACAATAGCAAAACAGCGTGAATCTTTGTCAGTCAAACATGGCTACGTACCGGAAAGACTGGCCAACACCTTCTGGTGAGATTCGATTGTGCATTGATATGCGCAGAGCAAATGAAGCCATCGAAACGTGTCCGATTTCGGTTCCATTGACAAGGACGGTTAAGGATGAAGAGGTGTGAAACGACAAAACAATGTTCTTAGCATCACACGAAGGTGACACTACAACAAACACGAAAAGAGAAGTAATAGGCCCTTTGCAGGATCCGGTCACATGGTACTGAATTAATTACGCTGGGACACAAGTTACACAGTGGGACTTCCAAAACAAAGGAAAGTCGGGCTGGAATGGTACGAGTTCCTTTGTTTTGGAAGTCCCACTGTGTAACTTGCGTCCCAGCGCAATTAATTCCGTACCATGTGACCGGATCCTGCAAAGGGCCTATTGCGTAGGAATTTCAAGAAGACAATTACGGTATGAGTGGGTTGGTGGAAATGTCGACTAGAAAGTCAAAAGGCTTGAGAACAAGTCAACGATAACACCTCCTTCATAAAAATGTCGGGTTTAAGAGGTGGAGAGCCCATAAACACTCTGTAAAGATAAGAACTTAAGAAAACTAAATAAAAACTTGCGGAAACAAAAATTATTGTTGCTGCAAAAGGTAATAGGCGAGATTAGACTCTTGGAATAAAATCCATACTCCAGACAATGATCGGTCACCAAAATGAGACTTTCAACTTGAAATCTTCAAAAATCCCCCAATGAAGTTGCTATATACAAGATGAACTTCGGAACATACAGGTAGCGTTCTATCACTGTCTTCCCCTCAGATCCGAAGCTGAGTCTGAGTCACGAATGATTTGAGTTCCGCGCCAAATATCTCGGGGGAAAAAGGGATCAAGTCTCCAGGCAGTGAAGTGATCGAACTCCGCGCTCCAGCAAAAACATCAGGGCTCCAGCACTCCAGGAGTGATATAATTCAGGAATGGTACGTCTTTTTCATTTAGTTGAAAACTATACGACATGCATTTTGGTGTAAGAAAACAAAGTTACGACCACAATGATAATTAAAACATGTTCTGTCGATTTATACGAGCGCCGGATAGTCTTGTCT